CGGAGGCCACGGAACTACGTGATTACATGCAGCGTTTCGTGCTATAGGCGTCGCTTTCTTTCATCAATCCGTGACGCGCTAAACTCGACGGAGGCACGGGTGGCGGTTAAATGTGTGCGGCTCGCTTCACAGACAACGCAGGGCAGTGTTTAACGCGCCATAGCGTTAAAAGCCACTTTCGCAGATATTCCGGTGTCGGCGTCTACGTAAGCGTCATTGGTTTAAGGGCGCGAAAAATCAGCGTTGACCGCGAGCGAGAACACCAGGTAAATGTATTTAAATGACAAATAAAGATTGTAGGGAGGAGTCGCTCGCTGGATTTCGTGCCGACTGGTTGTGCGCCCGCGCGCTCGTGACCTTCGGCGTCATCGTAGCTCTGGCCGACTGGGCTCGCCCTACGTCACCTCCTGTCGCCGACGACCTTCGACAACAGTGTAGCTCTGACCTACTGGTCCTGCTCTACGCCATCTACAGACGCCGACAGCATCTCTCGCAAGTGTACCCCGTCCTCGGACTCCAGTGACCGTGCTTCCATCTTTCCTGTCTCTCCTATCCCCTCAGTTTGTTGTTGCTTCTTCTTCCTCTTTTCTAGACCTTTACTTCTACCCTTTTTTATCCCTCCTCACCCCCATCCCTTGTGAGCTACTGTGGCGGTGTTGCTCACTGAAGCACACAATAACGGGGCTCACTTTTCTCTTCCTTTCTCTATCTTAAGAACCACTCGCAAAGATTGTAGGTTCTCGTGGGGATCGAAACAAGGCGTTCTGCGTGTCGTGAGGGTTTTCAATGTTACGCGGACAAGGATTCTTTTCATCAGGGCACGTGCAAAGAAGAGAAGGGATGACGTGTGCGGCACCGGTTCGCCACTGAGGCAAGAAATGCCGTCTCTTTAATCAGGGCATAGCAAGTCGCGTGCACTTAGCCGTCACCATGCCCCCCGTCGAATTGAGAGCTTCACGGATTGAAGAAAATAAAAACGACGGTCAAAGTTTCTAAAACCTTCGACGCCGTAGTCGAAGGCTCCAGAAACTTTGACTACCTGTTCTACTTCTAAATCGTAGTACTAGCCCAAAAACAAGTTTTATTGTTCCTGGACAGAGTCAGCGTTTCACCAGGACCTGATTGAAAGTGCAAAACTGTATTTGGTGGATAAACTCAACACAAAAACACAACACAAGGTCCCAGCAGGTTTATCAAATAAGTGCTTCGCAGCAAATAAGCTCTTTTTCTGCATCTCTCACACTGCACGGAACTACCAACGTTCAGGGGACGTGCTTCACACCCAGCGACGCTTCTGCATGGGCAGGTTTTTGTTTTGCCTCCCTCTCCGTAACGGGGAAATGAAAGAAACCTGGATTTGTTGTTGGGAACACAACGGCTTCGGTGTGGAAGCCGAGCGTGACCCACACGCACGTACGAATGAAAATGCGCGTGGCCACGGAATCGATGCCCGGAGCCCGGAACCCATAACCAGACTGATTGATTGATTGATTTGTGGGGTTTAACGTCCCAAAACCACCATATGATTATGAGAGACGCCGTAGGGGAGCGCTCCGGAAATTTCGACCACCTGGTGTTCTTTAACGTGCACCCAAATCTGAGCACACGGGCCTAGAACATTTCCGCCTCCATCGGAAATGCAGCCGCCACAGCCGGGATTTGATCCCGCGACCTGCGGGTCAGCAGCCGAGTACCTTAGCCACTAGACCACCGTGGCGGGGCCCCATAACCAGACTCTAAACTGAGTTCATCGAACAACAAAGAAAAACAGGTTTACAATATGCCATGCAGCATTTCCACTATACGCGCGTGGAATCAACAACATGTTTAGATAAACTTGAGATTTTGCGCGCCAGAACTACGCGATCAGTTTGCCTTCCCGCTAGCACTTACACATACGTGAGACCAGAAGGAAAAGTTGAAGTTCTGTGACTGATAATCCCAGTACATGCCTGTGTGCTTACGCTTCCCGAATATTTGGAGATAAGAAATCACAGAGCGCATACTACGAACGTCAATTAAGTTGGCTGGCGCTCAACACAACCGTAATTGTTTGGGTCTTGCGTCCCTAAAACACGAAATCATGAGGAACGCTTTTGCGAAGAGTTCCGAAAAGTTCGACCACCTAGGCATCTCTGACGTATACCTAAATCTACGCATACGGGTCTCCGGCATTTTGTCTCCATCGATCTGCAGCTGCCGCAGCCAGGAGTCGATTCAGCGACCTTTGGGTCATAATGTAACTGCAGCGCAACCACACACGAACAGGGAAAGAAGGCACACGAAACACCGCGCTGAACTCACAAATTAATGTTTTATTCCGAAAACGACACTCGTAAGAACAGCTATCGTAAGCTTCCCGCATGCGCAAACTGACATTCGAGTCATCAGTCGAGTACCACGACCACTTTACCACCGCGGAGAAAAGTATATACCCAGCAGCGACGAACGTTTAATGACGTATACTACACGGTACAATTCAGGGCTCAAGTGCTCCTCATCCGCAAAGCTGGAACTGGCAAAGCTTCAATGAAATAAAAATCGCGAAATAAATAGATATAGGTACAAAAATAGAGGTACAAAATTAAAAACACCTTAATCGAGGAGGTTAGTAAGTTTAAATACCTAGGTATCGTATTGAACTCCAGATTAGATTGGAACGACCACGTTCAGCAGGTAACTTCTTCAGCGCAAAAAAAACTTGGTCTTTTACGGCATAAACTTCGAGGTACACCTAGTAACGTTAAGTTTTTAGCGTATAATTCCATAATTAGGCCTAAACTGGAGTATGCAGCGGTTGTTTGGGACCCGCACACGAACAAAAACATTAACGAATCGGTGAAGGTTCAGAGGAGGGCTGTTCGTTTTATTTATAATAAATATAAAAGAAGTGATTCTCCGTCAGGTATCATGGCACTCAATAAAATCCAACCACTACACATTAGACGCCAAATTGCCCGCTTAGCTTTTATGGAATCCCTAATTAAGTGTAAGACTGGATTATCATTCACTCAGTTCATTAGTCCGTCCACCACGAGGAAAACACGACACACACATAGCCACAGTTTATCCCCATTCTTTGCCCGAACAAATACCTTTAAGTTTTCATATTTTCCACGCACGATAGATGACTGGAATAAATTGCCAGAAAGAATTTTTAGTGGAAATTTTATGACAGCCCTACACGATCATTTTAGAAACTTTTAATTACTGACGTTCGGGTTTTTAGCAATGTTTCTTGAAGTTGTGCGTGATTTTCTAGTTTTATTTGGATTGGAAACCCTGCTATGTTTGTGCGAAAAGTCGGTTTCACCGTGGTTTGTTTATTTTGTAGTTCCAAGTGAATCCTGCGTTTTGTTGCTTCATTGTTTTTGTTACATTGCATTGCATTGTATGTGCGTGAACATTCTTTTTTTCTGCCCGTCCTGCTTGGACCATTAAATTGGTCTGCAGTATTGTATAAATAAAAAAAAATAAAATAAATATAGGAGAAGCCAGTCTCAAGCCCCACCTTCTCTTTTTTCAAAACGCCCTTTAAAACGTATGAAAACTTTCTTCCAGAAAAAAAAAAAGGGAAAAAATCAGTGACTCACATGGTGATTAAACGCGAGCGGCTGTTTCGAAGGGCGTGCCCCTAATTTGAAAGTCGCGTCCCTCACAGTGATTTGCGGCAAAACGCCACCCGCATCGCGTGTCAGATCCAATCTTTCTTCCAGTTCTGAGCCGAGTCAGAAATCGCATCGAAAACCTAAACTCGTTTGCATTCGAGCGCCGTTTCAACACAACGAGTAACCAGGCAGACGTGGTCGGGTGAACTTGCGACATTGACGTAAACCCCGGCGACAGGGCAAACGATGAATACGGCTTGACAAGAAAATTAATATTTAGCCAGTTTTTCGGCACTTACAGGCGAAAAAAGAAACAGAAAATGTGACTTAGGACTGAGGACGTGAGGGTATAGGTTAATCTTATTTGTTATTGATTTTACTTCACACGGACGGACGGACATACCGATAGATAGATAGATAGATAGATAGATAGATAGATAGATAGATAGATAGATAGATAGATAGATAGATAGATAGATAGATAGATAGATAGATAGATAGATAGATAGATAGATAGATAATAAGGTTACCTTGGCAGATCCCGATTGGCTGCCCTGGATACCGTAATCTGATCGCCAAGGTGGCAATCGGATTACGAGACGGGCCCACAGCCGCCAAGAGTTGGAAGCACGCAGCAGTTGGAAGTAAGAAAATATCGATATAATTACGGTAAAAACGCACCCCACTTATCCTGGAGACTTTCATTTAGTCCCACACTCACTGCGATGGTAGGCTGGCGGTGAATTAGAATTTCAAAAAGAAGTTCGCCATGTTTCCAGGCAGTAATTTTTCTTTCCCACATCTAACACGTGCAACGGTCGGCGGTGTCGTTGAGCGCGTCGACAAGTACGCAACGTCAGTTCGCGATCTTCGTGAACTTGGTTTACAGAAAGCACTGTCGGTTAATGCAACCTGATTTTATTATTTTTTGTAACGTGAAAGTCCGGGAAGCTTGCAAAAAATTGTTAGAAAGGTTTGCGTGCAGACAATCACGTCTAATGTACCAAGCCTAACCTACGTCCACACCTGCCTTCTTTCTCTTTCCATCAGACATTTGAATCAATGAGTCTGACGAATAAAAAAACACGTCACAAAAAAAGATAACTAAAGCGTGAATTACAACACACGAGTGTAGTAACAAAACGAAGCAGTGACTAGTTCGTGGCGTGTTTCTAGCGTTAAGACTTCGCAATTGGATTCCCGACACGACGGTCGAATGGCGTGTCAGGCTTTCGTGACTTTCCCGTACCTTCGCTTACTCCAGAAAAAAAAAAAAGAAAGAAGGAGCAAGTTTTCCATCGTTCCAGTCACTCTCCTATCATTTCGGTTCTCTGTGCGAACAACTGAGCTTCGGCGCGCACAGTATTACAGAGACAACATAGGATAAGCGGCATGTCTTCCCAGGGAAGGTGCGATAAGATGCTTTAATTTTTTTTACAACTCGAATTTAGACGTACACTCTTGTGCACAGTTTAGCAACAGCCTCGGGATTTCGCCTATTATAACCATAAGACCCTGACAACGCAACGATTCCTTCAAATTAGAATTCCTTCCATATCCTCAAGTCATGGTCAGTACGATGCCTCTGAATCGAGTGTAGTCATCACCGTACTGGGATGTCACGAGTCGTGCGCAATAAGAAACTGATCAAGCGAGAGGAATACTTACGTCGTGAGGGTGCTGCTGCTATACCGTACAATAGGATCGCGAAAGGTTTGACCAAGAGAATTGCCCAAGTGTTGTTCAGCGTTACAGCGCGTGTCGTTCGAGAGTATCCCCCGTATTCACAAACGCTCCTTCACTCAAGGGCTCTCCTCGACTTAAAAAGTCGATCGGAGCGCCATCTCTTGGCAGACCAAGTCACTGCTTATCGGCAATATTCTGCAGCGATTCTTGAGAAGCGCAGCGTCAATTTCAGCCGAGCAGCGGCGCAGTGCTCAACTCAGTCAAGTGAAGGATGGAATTCGAGTCGAGGAGCGTTTCTGAATACGGGGGTAAGGGAAACGACCGCCACGAATACTCAAAACGTGTCCAGTTTTCAGCTACGGGGTCGGGCATAATCAATATGTAGATGGCAACATACCGCTGTTCCTGAAGACTTAAATTTAGAATTTCTTGTGCGTTCGCCTAAGACGTCTCGAAGATGAAAGTCGTCTTCTTATCGTTTGCAGTAGACGCATTATTCCTCGGTGGTCGAAGGAAGTTGAGCCCCCCGGCTACGCCACTGATTCATTGTATTCTCCCAATACTAAAGTGTGCAACTGAAAGTTGGAGGTAAACCAGGAAATTCGGGAACGTTGTTAAAAACCGCACAGCGAGCGATAAAATGAGGGGGGGGGGGAGAGGCGGTAAACAGTAAGGTTACGCCTTACTGGATTCGGTGTGCTTTACCGAGTAAAAGAGGGCAGACGCACTTCTTAACGACCTTAACAAGAAAAATGATGCACATGACATGTAAAGCGAAGAACCCATTATTGTATGTGGTATATTAGTTACAGAATGGACGTGCGGTAGGGAATGAAAACTTTGTACAAGGCGGCAGAACTGGTGCTATTATCATAGGTGGGCGTACGGGGAGGAGGGTAAGGTCTGCCCTATTCACCTTTTCATAAACGCCTCCCTGGGCGCCGCCATAGCCCTCCTTGGGCTGTGCAAATTGGCGCGTCCCCTCGAAAATGCACTGACAACGCTGCGCCCTTAGCCTTTGTACTCCCGCGCACAGCCCATCACGGCGGTGTTTTTTTTTTTCCTTCCTGTGAAAAGGTGTATACATTGACCAAACGGGAACAGGGGGGGGGGGGGGGGGGCGGTTGCGACGAACCTCCACTTCCCCTCCCCCTGAAGAGGATCCCTGCGCACGCTTATGGGCGTGACGTAACTGATGTAATAAATACTGCAGGAAGAGAACAGAATAAGCTGTTAGATAAGAGTGACAGTTGAAGCCGTCGGAACAGACCTGCCTCACGAAGTGCCTATAAATAGGCGGAGCGTAACGGTAACTAGAATTATCATTAAATACTTCTTTTTTTTTTCACTCGCAGATTCGAAGTTTCCTCCGAGGCATCCCAAGTGTCTCGACCTACGAAGTGCCACTCCGGAACCGGTGCGACGACCGGGACAAAACCGCGACGCGACAGTCGCGCGAAGGGCAACCTGTGCGCGACGATGCTGGCGCAGTTGAAGGAGCTCCTGTACAGGTCCCACGTTCCGGGCATGAAGGTGGTCATGGGTCCGTTCGTTCCCGCCCGTCGGCGAGCCCGCTGGGTGTTCGTGCTCACGGTTTTCACGGCGCTGACTTGCTGGGACATCGCCAGGTGCGTTCGTCCGATTAAATGTTCCTCGCGGTGTCTTTTTCGTTACAAACGTTGTTCGGGACTCACGGCACGGATCGAAACGGGGCAATTTATGGCTGAATATAACCCACATACATCCCTGTTTTAATCATACTCAGATAAGGTCATATCGGCACAATTTCGATTCCAACGCGCAGATCAGAGCCTAAATTATTTTTAGGGTCCACATTCACTGCGACATGACTTGGTTATTGCGAGAAATTGCCCATACTAGTCATTTTACAAAAGAAATTTGATGTCGTGTTTGATTTGATTGATTTTGATTGATTTTGATCGATTTTTGGGGTTTAATGTCTCAAAACCACGATATGCTTATCAGAGACGCCGTCGTCGAGGGCTCCGGAAATTTCGACCACCTGGGGTTCTTCAACGTGCACCCAAATCTGAGCCCACGGGCCTACAACATTTCCGCCTCCATCGGAAATGCAGCCACCACAGCCGGGATTCGATCCCGCGAACTGCAGGTCAGCAACCGAGTACCTTAGCCACTAGACCACCATGGCGGGGCGATGTCGTGTTTGAATCCTTGAGTATACTTCTCATCTCCATGGGACTCTCAGAGCACCCATTTATCAAAAGACAATCATGTTATTTAAACCATATAACTTCTGCCTTGATTGTCACTGCGCATATAGTCATCCCTTGTATATCTTCCCTATCAGCAGCTGCAAGGCTTCACTTTAATTTGTCGTGGTATAGCTCTAGCTCGTATAGAATAAGGTAGTTTCCCATAAGCATTCGAGATGCGTAAAATTGCTTTCAGTTCACTCCTTTGCAAACTCGATCTCATTCTCACTTCAGTTATCTCTTTATTATTTCCATTTTTATTTTACAGTTATGAATTTATCCTAATTACTTAGTTACCTTCCGATGAATCTTAAATAATCCTAAGTACTTTCAATTCACTACGCAGTATTATTAATTACTTTTAGTTCCCCCTCCATTGCTTCCCCGAGCTTTAACTGAGGTTTGGTGCCTCACATGACGTTATATCGCATTCTTGTTACCACTGGTATGTCCGACGCTGACGATCACTTTTTCCATTTGATGAACACTTTTTTTCCGTTTATCAAATAGTAATGAAAAAAAAACTCTAAATAGGATGCTATATTTGCCGAAAGGAAGCCAATAATCTTTTAAGGCGCAAGCTATTTATATCTAGACAAGGCAAGATGGAAAAACAAGGATAAGAACGCGGTATATCCGCTGCCTAAACCCGCAGTTCGCGAGACGTTCGCGCAGACGACGTGAAAGTCCGCTTCCGATTTTACCGCTTTTTCATTCTTTCGCGATTAACTATTCCCCGTTATCACTTCGTCCTCCTAATCTCATATGCTGTCGTTGGTTTTGTTATCGATGACAACACACGTGGTACAGCCACATATGCATCGCACGCCCACTTTGTAAAGGACGCTTAGAAATGATAACACACTAGTCGCATACTCAAGGGAAGAAAAAATCAACTTCTCGAGCTGCTCCATTACGTGGACACCAGGCTATGAAACTGTGACAGGGAACCAGCGTGCCGACGCCATTGCCCGAGAATACGCCGACCGGAGGGGCGCACAACGACGAGGAACCAGCCACAGTTCCTAGACGCCATGGAGCAATTTTAGAACACCAGAGAGCCCTGAGGAGGACATACCCCCTTCCCCACAAAGACCTCAGCAGAGAGCAGTCGGTTGCCTGGAGACAGCTGCAGGCTGATACGTACCCCGATCTCAGTCTTCTGAGTAAAATCTATCCGGGAATATATACCAACAAATGATTGATTGATATGTGGGGTGTAACGTCCCAAAAACACCATATGATTATGAGAGACGCCGTAGTGGAGGGCTCCGGAAATTACGACCACCTGGGGTTCTTTAACGTGCACCCAAATCTGAGCACACGGGCCTACAACATTTCCGCCTCCATCGGAAATGCAGCCGCCGAAGCCGGGATTCGATCCCGCGACCTGCGGGTCAGTAGCCGAGCACCTTAGCCACTAGACCACCGCGGCGGGGCGCCAACAAATGCCCGATATATCCAGAGAACACCCCACACTTTACCACGTGACATGGGCCTGCCTACACACACAGGTAGTGCCAAGAAACTGTACACCAACACCGGAGCAGTGAGAGGCTGCGCTGTCCTGCTCTAAGCCTGAAGAACAGCTCAAGCTGATCGACAGAGCTTGCAAGATGGCAAAGGCCACAGGGGCCCTGGACTGAGGGCTCCACCTTCACCGAAAAAAAAAATATTTGTAATAAAGTTTTGCATTCATTCGCAGCCTCAGGCTACATAAAAATTGGAGAAGGGGATGAAGTGGGGGCTTTTTGGAACGCGACGCTCTCGTGTGTACGGTGCCTCTTGAGAAGTGCTGCGCTAACGGCGCGTTCTATATTTTTTTGGCCTTCGCAGCAGAGCATCTCGGGACATGTTACACGTCGCGTTGTTTCTCGTGCGTGCCCTGCAGGACCGTGTCCGAGTACCTGGAGCGACACGTCGCAATGGACATCGAACTGTCCGAGGTAGAGGACGAAATGCCGCTGCCCGCCATCACCGTCTGCAACTTGAACCCGGTGCGGAAGTCCGTTCTCTGCGACCCCAACTACGAGGCCCTGAACGCTCAGGAGGGCGCTGCGTATTGGAGGGAGCGGCTCTGCAACGGAAGAGCGATAGAGAACGTCTGGGTACGCAGGTTTTTGTTTTGTCGCCTAGATGATCTTGGCTCATACCCGCAAGGAGGATCGGCCACACTGTACCTTATAACGCAAATTTCTATACAATGCTTGTTAAAAGAGAGAGCAGTCATATAAGAACAAGATCAATAATAACGTACCTTTAAAAAAAGAAAGTGCAAAAGGAGGAAGAATTCAACTAACCGCTGTGATGGCCATAGAGATGCATGCACACGGTCCTCCACTATAGAGTATGTGCGGGAAGAGTGGCGGTACGGGGGTACTAAATGCATGTTGCTTACTACTGCATGCAGTAAGCCGCATTACAGTGAAAGCTGTCATGAAATCACAACAAGTGTCACGTGTGCTGTAGTTATTCGCCGCCACCGCCGGTGTCCGTATCCACCATCGCACAAAATTAAAAAAAGCTAACTAAAGAGAAACACTAAGGACGCGATGGGATCCGAACCAGGGTCTCCTACGTACCAGCCCAGTATTCTACCACAAAGCCACGCCGGCGTTCGAAACTTCGTGGCAAAATGGCTTTAAGGCAGGCTTGATATCCGGAAAGGAATCGCGGTAATGTGTGTAATAAAGCATTTCAGAACAACAAAGGACCAAACAGGCTTCGCACACAGCAACTTCCGTAACAAGTGTGTCGTCGAATGCCACGACCCTAGTTCTTGTTGACCTAAAAGCTTCAGGTATAATTCTTAATCGTCGTCAGCCACAGTATCCAAAGTCTGCAGTTTTTTTTTTTTTTTTTTTTTTGCAAGAGCGGGTACCACGCATCTCTGATGAAGAATGACGAAAATCTCCATAGCTAATCCTTACTACACACATATTTGATTAATAATCATGGCGTATTGGGTACCCTACAAGTGTGCTTGTAGCAGTTACACAAGTATTGTTCACAAAAACGTTCGGAAAAACCGCTCTTGCAGCTTTCGCTGTGACAGTGCTGCGTGCTCTGCACAGGCCAGGCGTTTTTTTTTTTACGCAAAGGTGCTTTATGCCGAGGTCCAACACGGCTCTGCTGGCATACTTCCGTGACGTTTAAAAAATATATATATTAAGCAATTGCACAGAAAAAAAAACAGAAGGCAAACATTCGTCGCGCCGAGTCGAATCAGTAATCTCTCGATTCCTAGCGAGTGGCGCTAAACACATACGACACGGAGCATGCGTTGTCGGGAATGATAACGGCAAGCCATTTATATGCACCACACACCACGTTTTGGCAGTCCTTAGAGCTTCGAAACTTTAGCACGCTTTCGTCATCGTTGGCGAGATGGCGCGACGCATACTCACGTTGGGCGACGCTTCCACGTTGCGTCGCCTCTCCTGCGCGGGCACTTACCAGACTCGATTGATTTGTGGGGTTTATAACGTCCCAAAACCACCATATTTATTATGAGAGACGACGTAGTGGAGGGCTCCGGAAATTTCGGCCACCTGGGGTTCTTTAACGTGCACCCAAATCTGAGTACACGGGCCTACAACATTGAAGCCGCCACAGCCGGGTTTGATCCCGCGACCTGCGGGTCAGCAGCCGAGTACCTTAGGGCCGTTGCACGCGCTTCCCGCACAGCCGCAACGCGCGTGCCGGGACCCCTGTCGCACGTAAGCGGGGGACAAATAAGCCAATTGGCGACGCTCTTTCACCCTCTGCTTGGGTGCGGCAGGTGTGCCGGCACGTGCGTTGCGGCTGTGCGGGAAGCGCATGCAACGGCCCTTAGCCCCTAGACCACCGTGGCGGGGCGGCACTTACAAGACTCATAGTTTGGGAGAGGACGAAGGCCATTTTTTTACGCTGCCGCGGCCGCGTTTAAGGAAGGAGCGCGCTGCTGACGCACGACGAAGGAAGAATTGTGACAGTTGTTCACGCTTGTCCTGTGTATACTTGTTCGCTCGTTTCGTGAGCCTTTCTTTCTGCTTGAACAGCGCGCTTTGAGGGTCGAGCTGCGACAGTTGTTAGTCCGCGCTCGTCTTGTGTATTCTCATTTAGTGCGTGCTTTCTGACTGAGGCGTGCACTGGAAGTTTCGGGCTGCTCGTTTTTCTTAATGTGACTTTGAAATTTCTTACTGTTACTGAAACAACGCACAATAAACGCTCAACTGCCTCTGTAAAGAAACGTTTCACATTGGTTTTATAACGATTCCTATATAGGGGGATCAGCCACGTTTTTCCGCTTAATTGCCTAATTAGACGTCTCTTATTAACCAGCTTTTGAAACAGCGAAGCAATTCAGAAATTGTGCGACGAAAGATGTAGATCAGTTCGCAAAACATGCGACCAGACATTTTCTAACTTTGTATGTGCTGTATCTGTATAAGCAGTCACTGCGGCTATCGCTTGTGTTGCTGCTATAGCAAAACGTACGTCATCGCACAGCTACCGCCACAACTGCCCTGTCAAGGCAGCACACCTGGACAAGTACTATGGTAGTTTGCAAGCGGACCATTAGGGAGCACTGCAATCACGTCGCGCACAGGCGCGCAAGTGGATATGTCAGGTGGTATATAGTATTTCGGGCACCTGCAGTAAGCAAGAAGATCCTTGATAGTGACACGGAGGTCCATGCTGACGCTAGTAACATTGGGCACGGTGCAGTGCTTGTTCAGCGTCAAGATGACATTGAAAGAGTGATAGCCTACGCCAGCCGCTATCTACCCCGCACCTCCACCAGTTTGTCACAATGAATCGCAAGTACTGGGGGGTTTATTAAACCACCGAGTAGCTAGCTCTAGGACGATGCGTCAGTCGTGGCTGGCTCTCTCGAGCAGAGAAGAAGCAGGCGATCTTCTTCGTTCCTCCAGATTGAGAGCAGCTCTTGCCGTCGGCCCACTACGTGCGGGTGGCAATAGTATGCAAGGTAGACAGAAAAACCATAACAGATACACCATTAAAACTGTCTAATCAGACGGTTTGCGAGCCGACCTGCAGCAATAACAGTGTATTTCCCCCAGTCTCGTTACTTTGAAGGGAAATAAAATATACCTGATTATGTAATTAGGAAGAAAACAAAACACAAACTTACTCACTGCAATAGTTGTCAATACGCATTTCGTCCCATCCTCACAGAGTGCGTTGGCATATATATTTTTTTAAACTCTGGCTAGATATAACTGGGGCACCCTGTATATGCACATACAAGCGCACGTGTGAACATACATTAAAGGTGGATCGATCGGGTAACCACTTCCCTGCCCCACGGCTACCACGGCAAATATTTTCTCACTGCGCCGGTACCTTCAAAGTGTAAACATCTTAAGATTTGATTTAGCGCTGTAAACAAATTACATTCTGGAGTTTTATTGTCAGAAGCACCACATGACATTTGAGTACGCAATAGGACGGCGTATTAATTCCAACCAAGCCGAATTTCCTTAACGCACACGGAAATTCTAGAAAGCATGTGTTTTTTTTTTTTAATTTCCGCGCCATAATACTGAAGCACGACATCCATGGTCCCGATTCATAGACTCCGTGGACTCCATCCATGGACGCAACAGAACGCGACACCTTATACCAGCTGGCTAATAAATTACCTATCAATACGGATTATCTCAGCGACTGACACGCCAATAGTCTTAAAAAACAGTAAGTCGATGAAGCGCGATAAAAAAAAAAAAGCAGCGCACGTGTCTGACGCCAAGTTTGCGTATCTTTCTACTCGTTCAGAGAAAAGCTACATGCTTTCCCCGAAAATTGACTTCATCGTCGCTGTGATAAACGCAAGCAGTTGGAACTCTACGAACTGGAATCGCTGGGTTCCCGTGCTATACGCGCTCGCTCAGTTTTCACAGAAGCGTTTCGCCTGTTTAATCGCAGATGAGCGAGGAGGTGCTGAAGGAGGTGGAGAACTTCACGCAGTGGGTGATGCGAATTCAGCGGAAGGACGTTGCGCTCGCAAAACGCATGGGACACCAGCGCAAGCGCTTGTTCCTCGAGTGCACCTTGGGGAACCTCAACTGCCGGGATGACAGGTGCGCCGTTCGCTGTCTCGCCGATACCGAAGTTCGCACCGACACAGAGCGTGTGTACAGAGAGACAGGCATGTCAGCGAAAAAAAAGTGGCCATAGCGTTACAAACTGAGAACGGTAACTATGTTTATTTCGACAGTTCCGGCCAGGGTCTGGCCGGAACTGTCGAAATGAACTCTTCCCTTGTTACTGTTCTCACGAAGGAGCTAATTCACTATATATTAGCTCTCAATATATATATATATATATATATATATATATATATATATATATATATATATATATATATATATATATATATATATATATATATATATATATATATATATATATATATATATATATATATATATATATATATATATATATATATATATACGTGTGTGTGTGTGATCTAACAGACAATACTGCCGAGGAAAGTATAGGGGAAGATATTAGACCAAATTGAAATGTAAATATGAAGAAATGCGGGTGAAAAGATAACTTGCCGCGGGCAGGATCCGAACCTGCGACCTTCGAATGACGCGTTCGATGCTCTACCACTGAGCTACCACGACAGCTGTCCCCCAGCCTCAGTGGGGGGATAGCTCTACCACTGAGGTAGCTCAGTGGGTGGTAGAGCATCGAACGCGTCATTCGAAGGTCGCAGGTTCGGATCCTGCCCGCGGCAAGTTATCTTTTCACCCACTTTTTTTCTTATTTACATTACAATTTGGTCTAATATCTTCCCCTATACTTTCCTTGGCATTATTGTCTGTTAGATCTCATTATTATTGTGTAAAAACACGGAAAAACGAGCCCTTAGGTATACACTTCTTTCCTTATATATATATATATATATATATATATATATATATATATATATATATATATATATATATATATATATATATATATATATATATATATACGAGTGTTTTAAAAATGTGTCCAATACCTTTTAAAATAAGGAAAATTAGGCATTCGCTTGATGTCATCGCAGTTCCTTTTTCTGTAGCAGCAGGAATCAATGGATCAATGGTGGTTGAAGACATCCTTCGGAACAGTAATTAAGAAAAATAAATTAGTGAACCCCTCACTCCACTCGCCTCGTGTGCATGTCTATGGCTGTCACGTAGTTCAATTCCGTCTCGAATCCCGATTTTGTAATACTTATTTCTTCGTTTTCTTTTTACACACTGCATGCGGCCAGCATCTCAGAAGGCCCTCTCCGACGTTAATTAATAATTCTGTCGATCACTTCTTCATTGTTCTGCCTCGTTCCCAGTCTCCTGTTCGCAGTCCCTTACGGACGTTACGGCACCTGCTACTGTTTCAACTTCCTGCACGGGTTTTCCATCGCCCAGGAAGACACACGCGACATCTACAGAGGTAAGTACGACAGAAGAAAAAGATTGCCCCCACCTCTTCGGAAGGAATCGTGAGGAGATGCGAATGCATATCTTGCGCCCAGAGTGCGCGGCGTAGTAAATTTAATAGCGTAAATAACGACGAGACGAGGATTCGTGCTATAACCATTTATTTATACATTCATCAGCCCGCTAACGGTCGTGAGGCGCGCTTTTCTATATTTATATATACGTACGATAGAGGAGAGTCGGGCGCAGGAAGGAGAGAGAGAGCGAACGGCGTGAGGAGCGGCGTAGCACTGCACCTTCCCTCTCCCACACTGCCTCCACACACGCGGGAGCTCCGCCGAGCTCCATCGATGCGAGCGCCCTCACAAGCCAGAGCGCGCTCCTCTTTTTCCCTTACTCTCTGCTACTCCGCCCGCACCACATACCCCGGTTGCCAGGGGGAGAATAAGCGCCCGCGCACGCATCTGTTGCTATGGGAGAGGGAGTATGAGCGGAGAGATAACGCCTGTCGGCGCGCGGACACGGCCGGACGCCTGACATAGCCTAAGAAATGTTTTAAAAATCTCGGACACCGCGACTGAAACCAGGCGGCTCTTCTTGCTTAGGATACTTGAACGCAGAAATTTTAGCCTCTGTTTTTCTGTCATTTCCACGATTCAGCCACCCGGCTAGAGTTTAAGCATGCGCTGAACGCCCAGCCACGTTGTACAGGTGGCTACGTTCATACTTGCGAACACTGTCGATCAAGAAGCGAGCATTACGCATATCTGATTCGCAACATCAGTACGCAGGTATTAGGTGGCGTGTTCCTTTATTAGAAAACACATAGATAGGCAATTCTAAAGACGCTGCTCTGAAAGCGCGAAGCTACGCACGAAAACGCCCTCTACCGAAAATATGATGCTGTTACATGGCAGGACGGAAAAAGAGCAAGAACAGGATCCCGGGTGGCCACGGATGTCTTTTGACGACATTGGAAACGAAGAACGCAGATACGCGGCCAATATTTTTCTGTTTGTTTTTTCCTTGCTTATGTTTTTGTCTTATCTTCCCACATTTATTTCGGACGTTTCCATTCTTCGAAGGTTTGATGGCAGCAAATTTCGCCCACTACACAATGTGTTTAAGCGCTGAGCGGCAGCATGTGCGATTGAGATGGAGGGGGGGGGGGGGGGGGCAGGTGTACTTTTTCACACATCGCTGGGTTTCGCTTTAGACACGTCTAACACTGCTCGAACGATGCCTAAAACGAAAAATTCCCGTCAGTGAACCCCGAGGAGCGGCTCCGGCTTGTGGAAAAGGCTCGGGCGTCGGCTGCAAGTCATGGCTACCTAGAATAAGGAAGTCACCCACCTCTGTGAAAATACTAATAATATCTGATGTTTCACGTCCCAAAACCAAATATGGTTACGAGACCCCCGTAGTGGAGGGCTCCAGACATTTCGACCATCCGGTGTTATTTAACGCGTATTGACATCACACAGTACGCGGGTCTCTACCGTTTCGCCTCCGTCGAAATGCGACCGGCGCGACCGGGATCGAACCCACGACCTTTGCGTCAGCAGCCGAGCATCGTAGCCACTGTTCCACCGAGGAGGACTCTGGGCGAAGAGAGCATGTGCCTAGTCGCAGAATAAAGATTATTTTTCCTTGTCAAGACAGCTTAAATACTTCGCTTCGAAAGTACACGTGCATGCGTATTTTAGCGTGTGCGCTGACGCACAAGGCAATGGCACAGGTACTATTTCGCCCTACTGCTCGTTGTACTGCGAACTGTTGATCCTGTCGTACGCTGCCCACCTGCTTTACGGCATCTGAAGTTTGAATTCGCAGGTAGGATACGTATTCCGGGGGACTACAACCGCAACGGAGTACACATTCCCCCGGAATACGTATCCTACCTGCGAATTCAAACTTCAGATGCCGCTAACCTCCCTGTCCTTCCTCATTCATTCTTCCTCCTCCTTGAATTCTTCACATGCGGAACATTTCTTGCTCGCGGGTATGTCCGGCGTCCGCATTCGCACTACGCTGGCACGACTCTCCTCTTTCACTCCCTTTAACGGCGACGCGTTACTCTCTCCACTGCTCCCCTACCGCCTGCTTGCGCTCGCTCCTCCATTGCGCAAGGCACTGCACCGTGCTCCCGACCAGGCTGCAGAAATTAGGTGCCTTTTTTCTCTTCTGACCACTACCTTCACCACCAACATTGCGCATGTGCGTCCCCTCCTCTCTCTCTCCTCTTCTGCCTCGCAACGCCGACGCAGGGCACGTCTGCTAACCTGCGCTCGCTTCCCCCTCTCTTCTAGGCATGGAGGAAAGAAAAATGCTTCTAGGCATTCCTCCAGGCCCTGCGCCGTGCTCCCTACGGGGCTACAGTGTTCTAGAAGGAGTTCTAGTACACTCTAACCAGGTTGCAGCAATCAGGCGCCTTATTCTTCTAACTCCCACCATCATTATCCCCCCGGAGTCTCGCCAAGCTGACGTAGGCAGCGTCTGCTAACGAGTTTGCTTGATTGAAATAACCGGCTGCTCGCCGCACCACCCCAAGGTCCTCTTCTGGGAGATGGTGTAACTTTTTCGCCGCACAAGAGCAGATGTTAAGAAGCCGCGAAATAGACATGTTGAGGGACGAGAAACTTCGTGCCGAACGTAACCCAATGCCTGATTTCGCTCCCGGAAATCAGGTCTCCGCATGATACTGGACACCGAATTCGAAGAATACCTGCCTCTGTCGGCGGAGGTCGGCTTCAAGGTGATGATACACGAACCGGGAGTGGAGGCGGACTACAACCGCAACGGAGTACACATTCCCCCGGAATTCGTGTCCTACCTGCGACTTGCCAAGGTGAGTGCACTCTGTAGTACTAGGATATGATTCACCGTGGGATGACTGCAACATGTAGCATCAATGGCGCCATGGGTGACACCAGCGATTTTTAGATTAATAAGGAAAAGACGACGAGTATACAATGCATTTAAAAGAACCCATAGTAGTTATCAGTACACCAAGTTAATCGAGATAACTAACGATTATAAATCTAAAGTTCGTAGCGCAAAGGATCAATACTTCAATCGACTAAACGAAAGTATAAAAACGAACCCAAAGCTTTTTTTTGGAGATACGTAAGAAACTGCGGAGCTGATTCAACCGGAGTAAACGAAGTTTTCCATGATGATCAGATCTTGTCCAGCGATATTGACAAAGCGTCGTGTCTTAATGATTTCTTTCACTCCGTATTTTTACCTCAAAAGGATTTTGAGAAATTACCTACGCTGGCAGAGCCACCTCTGTGAACTCAGCCATTAATGCCACCGGTTGAACTCTGTGTGAGTGGTATCGCATCCCTCTTAAAGAATATAGACGAAACCAAGGCCCCTGGTCCAGATGGCATTTCCCAACGCGTGTTGAAGCGCTGTACGTGCCTGGCCAATAGCATCTTATCTTTACCTAACATACAAAAAATCTCTCTCTTCAGGAATTCCGCCTGAGGACTGGAAAATGGCTTTCGTGGTTCCCCTTCACAAGGGTGGTTCCAAAAAAGAGGCCAACAATTATAGACCTATTTCATTAACATCTATTCCCTGCAAAATACTAGAGCCCATTTTCTATAAAGACATAATGGAACACTTAGTTCAACATAAATTATTAGTTGATGATCAACATTTTCCGCAGGGGCCTGTCTTTCACAACACAGCTGATTGAGTTCTACCATGATTAAGTGTCCGAGGTTGATGACAACGGTAAAACAGACTGTGTTTTCTTAGATTTCAGAAAGGTGTTTGACGCCGTGTCCCATCCCTTGCTTCTTCGCAAACTCGAAAGAGCAAATATTGATAAGAAAGTACTGAATTGGATAGCCTGTTATCTATCACAGCGTCGACAATGTGTCATTCTCAATGGTACTACTTCTTCTACGGTGGAAGTAACATCGGGTGTCCCTCAAGGGTCCGTTTTAGGGCCGCTACTGTTTTTAGTTTACATTAATGATATTCCTGATGGCATTACTTCTGGGATACGTTTATTCGCTGACTCTCAGTTGTGTACAGAAAAATAAAAAATGAACAGGATCGCATTGAATTGCAGGCTGACCTTACCCGAATTGTGCAATGGTGTGATAAGTGAAAAATGCAATTTAATGAGAAAAAATGTGTGCACGTGCCTTTTACTAAAAAAAAGAAAAAAGATGAATCGCGTTACTTTTTGAATGGCGAAGTCATTGATCATCAATCAATGTATCAATACTTGGGTGTAACACTTATCAGCGACTGTTCATGGAATGCGCATGTGCGTGCTGTAGTTCCAAAAAGCTGCCAGAGCCCTAAATTTCATTCAACGATATCTGAGATCCTCCCCTGCTGTCCTAAAAAGTACTGCGCATATTTCATTTATCCGCCCAATTTTGGAATATGCATGTTGTGTGTGGGATCCGCGCCAAAAGTCCTTGATTGATCTGATCGAGAAAATACAAAACAGAGCGGCAAAGTTCGTTCTCAGTCGGTATAAGCGAGGTGACAGCTGTACTGAAATGAAAAACGAGCTGGGATGGGAAGCGCACTCCTCTCGTAGAAAAAATTTGCGTTTGAAATTGTTATTTCAGATATACAATAAGAAGACTGGCATCAATAAAGACACTTACCTTAAACCACCGCATTATCTGTCTAGAAGGTCTGATCATGACCTTAAGATTCAAGAATACCGGACTGAAACGAACCTTTATGCTAATTCTTTTTTGTGCATACTGTACAAGAGTGGAATCAATTGTCTTGTGACCAAGTGTGCTGTCATAACGAAGACTTGTTTTTATCAAAGCTGAACCCCCCCCCCCCCCCCCCCGCGCGCTTACACGCCTTTGGGCAAAGCAGAGTATTTTTGAATGAAGAAAATAAAGAAATAAAGAAAATGGCTTTACGCTCATAATCAGCAGCGTTACGTTCTCAAAAGCGTATTTCATTACGTTGCCAGCACATGCGAGCATAATTTGAATGAAGACAAGCGTGAGGGCACGATTGTCGTTCTCTTAAATTTTGGAGGTTAAGGGTACAATAAAGCCAATAAAAATTTAAGTAAGAGTGAAGTTTCAATGTATGGTGACGTCTAAAACGGCAATATTCGCCTCTCCTTATTCCGCACTCACTCGCAAACTTTCGAAGATCGCGCTCCCCTTGGCCTTTCTCGGCCTTCGTTCGACGGTTTCGTTTTTAAAGTCCATACGATCCGTCATGGTGAGATAAAGTATTCGGAACATCCAAATTTTGGCCCAATGAACATAGTGGAACTTGGCTGGAAAATTTCACGAACTCGTGCCAACCGGTTTCGCATCGTTGAGATTCTCGAGTACGTTTCAATGAACGTCTCCTAAATTCGCTTACAATAAAATGCAATGGGTCCGCAAAAAGCCTGGATCAAATGGGGTTGCATTTGCGCCAAAGCGGCCAGATCACGCTCCAAAACTTCGATTTCCGGGAGATCTTCTTGACAACCGTACAAACGTAAGAACCGGTCGAAATCCGGGAGTCTACCGGATTTTGGCAGGTATGTTGAACAGACAGAACAGACCGAAATTTTTGCGCCGAAGTATCGCAAGACTACCGTCTTTGAAAAGCTACTTTCAACTACGGCAGCTGGACGCCGGCGATGTTTAATTTGTGTTCTGTTGTCATTTCCTCAAGTTTTCACTTCAACTGTATTTCTATTTAAGTTCGGTTTCTTCAAGTTACAAATTAATGTACGGAAGTGGGGGGGGGGGATCAATAGTTCCCTGGCCACGCTCACGGCATAGTAGCCGAAATCACTCCCTGCCGAAATCACCAAGCTATGATTGCGAGATGTGTAGATAAATAAATAAATAAATAAATAAATAATATAACAAACTAAGAGTAATTGTAACAAGCTAATGAAAGGCGCCTGAAAGTCACGTAGATCCCAGGGAGTGCACACTTAGCAGAGTTCAGGCTGCACCGGCAGCAAACCATTAGGTCCGTTCGATTCGCCTGCACCACGTGAACCAGTTCACGAGGTGCTGCACCTTACCATTCGTTTCAGCGGTGCAGCATTGACGACCGCTGAACCCTGCCATTCGTTTCGAAAGGTGCAGAAGAGGTGCAGCACCGGTTCACAATTTTCCTGCACCTCCTTCGCTGACGGTGCCGGCTTGGTGCAGGCGCGCGTGCAGCTGAGCAGACGACGCAGCACTTAGACGTAGGTGGCTTAGGCTCCGTACCCACCTCTACAAATGCGATGTGTTTTGCCAAGATGTTTGCGCCTCATAAACTGTCCGCATGTGCGTTTCGTCATAGGTCGGTGTTTGCTGAATGGTGTAAATTAACCGAAAAGAAATAAGGCCAACACCTTGTCGGCACATCGTCATTTGTTTCGGGTGACGTGCTGTGCCTGCACCACTGAACTCACGCTGCACAATTTCTGAACTTCGCGTGCACAGCCGTGAACCGGTTCCGACCGGTGCAGGTGAATCGAACGGACCTATTATGCGAGGGGTGCGAGGTGTTCGCTGAAACGTCACTACCCGAGCCCGCAGGTCACGTGGTCTCGTTTTACCCAATCAATTGTAAGCTCGCGTACTTCAAATCTAGCGGCGGATTTACGACCCCACGTGACTTTGCATAGCTAATTACACACACTCTCTCGCGCTTACAGCTTCGCTGTCAAATGGTCTTCACGGCGTAGAAATGGCTGCAGTTTTATTTTGTGGTTTTGCAGATGACGCTACAGAGGCTGGAACCTCCGTACCCGGAGCCCTGCCGGCATGATTGGCCGCCGGGGTACAAGGAGATACTGTTCACTCAGACCAGATACACGCGAGAGGTGATACCGGAAAATTCGTTATTCTGCATTCGGTGGGGATAACGGTGATGGCAATTGAGCTTCCCTGGCAAATTCCGACGGCAACTGGGATTTTCCAATTCTGGACCAGTCATTCCTAGCATCAATAAGCGATCCACATTTAGCATATAAGTACATCTGCGAATCATTACGTTTCGGTTTTAAATGCGAAGCATTTCTTTGCTTACTGCAAGCACTTTTGGTATCTATCTATCTATCTATCTATCTATCTATCTATCTATCTATCTATCTATCTATCTATCTATCTATCTATCTATCTATCAATCTATTTATCTATCAATCTGTCTGTATCTATCTATCAATCTGTCTGTATCTATCTATCAATCTATCTGTATCTATCTATCTATCTCTATCAATCTGTATCTATCTATCTATCTATCTATCTATCTATCTATCTATCTCTATCAATCTGTCTCTATCGATCTGTCTCTATCAATCTGTCTCTATCTATCTATCTATCTATCTATCTATCTATCTATCTATCTATCTATCTATCTATCTATCTATCTATCTATCTATCTATCTGCATTGCCTTGCCTGCCTGCCTGCCTGCCTGCCTGCCTGCCTACGACTGGGTGCTCTCGTGATCACCGCCTTAACTTGGTGTGAACCAAAATTAGCATGGGAGGATAAGATGGCTTGACGAGTATTACTCACTGGCCATTACATGAATAATGTCATGATCCATTACATAGTTTCATAATGTGGTCAATCGCTTCACATCAAACAGTGGCACATACCCACGGGCAGGTACGTGCCACTGGTATGCGGGTATGTGCCACAGGTGATTGACACTATCTACCCAGGAACGGCGGAATACACATGGGTAATTTTATTGCTTAAGCGCTAAGAAAAAAAAAAACTGACATCGGCAGCATTGACTCTAGAAATGCATAGAATAAATGTCAGGGTTCAGCAGGAATCGAACCCGAGCATACTGCGTGGCAATCAGGTATTCTACCACAGAGCTACGCCAGGTCTCG